TAAGAGATGCATTAGGAAGATGGAGTTGGGATGTTGAACCAATATGGGTTGAATCTACTTTAAACATGGGAAGTATTTCTGAAGTAGAACAAATAAAATGTTTTGATTGGAAAGATTTAATGATTGAATTAAAAGAGAGAGAAATTAAAGAAGTTATTTTTGAAAATAATGGTGCATTACATAATATTTTAAATGAAATGGAACAAGGATATCAAGATATTCTTAGTTGGCAAAAAGATGAGATTTATGACATTGAATCATTAAATAAAGAAATTAAATTATTTGGAGAAGAAAGAATAAAAGAAAAAGAGATTATTAATAACATTAAAAGAAATATAATAAAAGAAGAAAAAATAAAAAAACAAAATAAAGAAACAAATCCAAATATTAGTGCTTTTGTTTCTCAAATTATTGAAGCAAATGCATTACCAACAATTGCTCATTCAATTCATCCTTTTGAAATAAATGATAAATTTAAATTAGCAATTAAACAAATTGATAAATTACCTTTAAGAGAAGGACATAAAGTTGCTTTATATTATGTTAAAAAAAATCAAACTATATTAGAAGCTTTAAATAATAAAGAAACAAGTGAAGGATTTAAAAGCTTTAAAAATGCATTAACTTGGGAATTTAAATCTTTTTCATTTGAGAAAGGAGTTGAATATTATGGAACATGGAGAGATGAAATTATTTTTAATTCACTAAATGAAGCTACAATGAGTAATGATGTAGAAAATATTCAAGAAAAACAAAAACAAATGTTTAGTAGTTTTGTTCAAGTAATTTATGTTGAAGGAGATCAAGATATTGATATTAGTTCAATAGTAACACAATTTAGTAATGTTTTCATTATTTTAAGACCTCATCAATATGGAATTCTTATTGAAATTTATAGAAAAGAAAATATTCCATTATTTGGTCCTTTAGTTACTGGAAGTATTGTTTGTTTCCATGAAATTGCTAAATTGGTTCGTGAAACTGTTTTAAATGCTAGTAGAGCTGTTCATAATACTTTTATGGCAGATAAAGTACTTCGACCATTTATTCAACGTGGAAAAGCTATTCATGATTTGATTAAGTCAAATAAAACAGAAACAAATAATTATTTTGATAACGAAAACCAAATTTATTTCATGAATAATGAAATAATAAATAACTAATTAATACATTATTATTGTGTTCATTTTTTGTTTCTTCTTGCTTTTGATTCTTTTCATTATTAAAACAACTTATTTCATTTTTTCTTTGTTTCTTTTCTCAAAAAATTTGGATTAATTTGTTTCTTTATAACTATCAACCTTTTAATTGAATAGAATTGTGTAGATTATTATTCTAAAATCCGTATTTGTTAAATAATACTGTATCCATTATATAACAATGAAACTTAATTGATTATTGATTCTTTTATTTTCATAGTCCATTCTTCAATTATTTACTAATTCTTTTAAAAGTTATTCAAAACTTTTGATGTATTCTTTAATATCTATTCAAAAGTTTATTATCATCTCTTATTAATACTCTCTTTTCTTCAATACTTTCTATTAATACTTTGTATATAAAATTAATTCTTCTCTATTCTTTTAATCATTGTTAACATATTCATAAAAAGCTTATTAGACCATCATATTCAATTGCTAATTTCTATCATTTTATAACTTACTTAATAAACTTATTTCCTTCTCTTCTTTGAAGAAGATTGTTCCATCTTAGAATATATTTATTAGTGTCTTCTTATTTATTTCTTAATTTAAACTAACTAACAAAGAAAAGGAAAGTGTATCGATGATTGCCAACAACATATTTCTTTGAACATTTAATAGAACATCATCATTCTTTGTTCAAACTACAAAAATATTGAGTTCATAAAACCATTTTTAAATTAATTAAAATTAATGATACTAAAACACATAATTTAAATTAATTAATGTTGAAAATAACTACATTTTGATTGGAGTATTAAATCTAATTCCTTTTAAATTGTTTATTATTAACAAACAATATTTTACATTTACATTATTGTAAAATAGAATGGTTATTTAAAAGAATGACAAAAATTCTGTTTTTAATAAATAAAACAATAAAAAGGAATTGAATAAATTAATTTTTAGAATAGCTCGAAATGTTTTATTAATTTTGCAATTTCACCTTCTTCTTTTTTAGATAAATCAACACTAACAATTAAATCTCCTTTAACATCACTTCCAACAACAGAAGCACTTAATTCCATCATTCCATTTTTATTAACGTTAATTGTAAATTCAAATGATTGTTCTCCAGCTTTTCCATTAGGAATTCCATCAATACGAAGTGTAGTAATGTATTCCATTTCAGGAGAGTTGACATATTCATTAAATCCTTTATAAATATTAAATTTAGCAGATGTTTGATTGAGTTTTGTTGTAGAGTACCTTTTTGTTATTCCCTTTGTAGGAAGTGTTTCTCCTTCTTTAATAAGTATTTCAAATTTTCCCCCTTTTACTTCTATTCCAATTGGTGTTGGAACAATATCATATATAACTTCATGACCAATAGCAGTTTCTTGAGCTAAAAATGATAAATAAGCAGCACCTTTTGCAACAGCAGTAAGTGGGTTAAAATCCTTATTAGCAAATGTTTGTCTATCAAATAACTTAGCAACTTCATCTCTAATTCTTGGCATTTTACATGTTCCACCAATTAATAATATTAATTTAACATTTCCTTTTTTATATCCTTTTTTTTGAGTAACTTGTTTTATTTTATTAATAAATTCTTCATATAGTCCTCTATTTTCACATTCTTTTTCAAATTCTTCTCTCTTAATAGTAGGATCAATATCATATTCATCATCATAATCATTAGATAACAAAGTTTCTAAATCTAGTTCTGTTTCAGTCTTACCACTTAATACAATTTTAATTTTTTCTGATTCTTTCTTTAATTTAACTAATTTCTTGTTGAGTGCTATCTTTTCTTTTTGAGTCATTCCTTGTTTCTTTTCATAATATCCTGGAATACTTTCTTCTATCCTTTCTTTAATAATATCAATCATTACATTATCAAAGTTATTTCCTCCTAAATTTTGATTTCCTCCAGATGATTCTACAATAATATTATCATTTACTATTTTACAACATGACACATCTAATGTTCCTCCTCCAAAATCAATTACTACAACCTTATCTCCATTTTTTAATGAATTTGGATATTCTTTTACTCTTTTATATCCAGCAATAGCCGCTGTTGGTTCATTAGCAAGTTCAACATTCTTAATTCCTGCTAATTTACATGCTAATAATGTTGCATTTCTTTGTCTATCATTAAAATCAACTGGAACAGTAACAACAACATTTGATATTGGATGATTACCAAGTTTTGCTTGTGCATTTTCATATAAATATCTCAATATCATTCCACTAATTTCTTCTGGTTCAAATTCTTCACTTTCTTGAGTCTTTGGATTATAACATTCAATGTAAGCACTTCCATTATCTTTTCCTTTTACTTCAAAAGGCCAATGTTCACGATCATCATAACTAACATCACTTTCATCTCTTCCTATAATTCTCTTACTATCATAAATAATACATTCACTGTGAATATCATATCTGGCAACATTTCCTACAACAGCGAAGCCACTAGTAGCTAGTTGTGAAATACTAATCCATGATGCTACTTGTTCTTTTCCTGTTTCGTCTTGAAGTACAACAGGTTCCCCTTTAACAGGGTCATAATAAGCAACAGAAGAGAAGGTAGTTCCCAAGTCAATACCAATTGAAAATGAATTTTCTTCTACAGCCATTAAATGATGATTATAAGTTCATTTTTACTTTATTAAATTTAATTTTATTTTAAATTATAAATAAAATAAATATCATTTATTTTGTTTTTAATAATAACTAACAAAAATAAATCATTAAAAATTTAAACATCACTATTTTGCAAAATCTTTTTCCTTATTTGAAGTGAATACTAATTGACTAAGCCTTATTGAAAGGAACTTAAATTATTCAATTTTCCATAACAAAAAATTATAAATTTTTTTTATTATTAAAATTTTTTTATTTTAAGACGTTATAGGAGCATTAAAACTTCAAAACTAACCCTAAAATAAAATCAAAATTCAAATTACCAATTATATTTTTGTTATGGACTTATCTTTAACAAAAACAAATATTCCCTATTCAAAGTTACAAAGATTTAGTACTGGTTGTTGTTTATAAAGAAGGTAAGAGTAGTTGTTAGAATATTATTGTTTTGAGTGGTTGTGTTGTACGAATGATTTTGAGGTTCGGCAGATAAAGTGTTGTTATTAACAGTGAGTCTGTTTGTTGTTGGCTGGTTTAAAGAAGAAGAGACATTGTCATAGTGTGTAGATATACTCTTTTTCATTAAAACGTCATTTTATTAAAATATTGTAAGTTTTAATATTTTTTGATTTTAAATGAAAATTTACGCACCAACTTAAATAAAGGAGGGGAGGGGTTATTGAATTTGAAGATTTTTGAAACAATTATATTCAAAAAAAAACGTAGCTATAGAATATCCACAATTTGATTTTATGATTGTTGAGAAATAGTTTCTTCAGTTTCTTCAATACTTTTTAATTGAGTCATAGAACTCTTTTATATCATGCACAAATTAGAGAGTTCTTCTTCTAATATACTGTAGAGTTTTTATGCAAAACATTATACTTTTATGATTTTAATAATAATCCTTTGTATTGTCTTATTAAAGTATGTTTATGATTTTAATAAATGTAACCTTCTTACTAATTCTTTATGTACTAGTCCATTTATTGCTAGTATTGAGGTGATTATTTCCACATATAGCATTTCTTTATCTCATTTTAATTTCTCCTGTAATCCATTTAGTACGAATTCAAATACTTTCTTTACACCATGTTTTCACTCATTTAATTTGATTGTATTCAATAGATTATTGAAATTAGTCTTCTTACCAAATACTTTCTTCATTCTTTTAATGATTCAATTTGGATTTTCTTTTATATCTCTTATTTGTTTATGTTCATTATTATGACATTGTTTATGTCTTCGTTCCATTTTATTATATGATTTATTTGTATTATAGTACTGATTATTTCTATTTCAATTATCGATAAAATATTTATGATGATAAAAAAGAAACAACCAATGAATGAAATGATTCATACTATTATTATTGTAATTGCCATGATAATGGTTATAGTGAAAGTTATTATTATGGTAATGATTGTTATGATGATTATTATATTTCTGCACATACAGATATACTTGTTTTCACTCATTCTTCTATCATTTATATTTCTGGATGATATGGG